TTATTATTATTATTATTATTATTATTATTATTATTATTATCATTATCATTATCATCATCATTATCATTATCATTATTGTTGTTGTCATGGATGGAATTTATTGTAGACGCTGAATCATTCGCTTTTGGTGTGGGAAGGGAAAAGTTGTTTTTAATCCCACTTCAGAAAATAATGTTTTGGTTTGAACAGAGAAACCTTTTTTTTGTGTGTGCTGATGGGGAAAAGTTTTCCTTTGGTGAGGATGCAGAAATGTTTTTTGTCCTGGTGTGAATGCAGAACAGTTTTGTTTTTGGTGCAGACTGGGGAATATTTAGTGTGTTTTTTGTGTGTGAATGGGGAAAAAAAGGTAAACCCAACAGTGAAAATGAACAGGGTTTAGGGATCACCTATACTTTGCAATGTTCTGCTGTCATAAACAATAAGACTATCTGTGTTTGCATCTAATTCCCAACAGTCAATAATGTCTCATGTTGTCATTCCAACATTAAATTAAAAACATGCACTTGTGCGTAAAATAAATATTGACTGATTTTGCGACGTGAGTGACAGTTCACAAGGCCTTGTTCATTCTTACTTAATTAGGATTATTAGGCTGTTTGTTTGCTTCTGGTTTTAGTGACACTTCACCTCCAATGCTTCTGATGTGATTGGCACTGATTAGTCTCCATGGATTGATTTGTACATGTTAGCTTTGTAGAGACCTAATGCTGTGTTGTGTGAATGGGTAAATGAGAGCACAGACTGTACTGTGTGAAGTGAGTGTCTGACTCTGAATAAGTACAGTTCATTTGTAGGCTTCATCAATCATGTTTTGTCCATTGGTTCAGTTACAACCCTGCTGTTATTTTCTGTTTTCTTTTCAGTCTAGCATTATGAGACAAAAGCTAAGACTTGTTCAAAAAGGGCTTACAAACCACAACAAAATGAAAGTTTTAGTAGTTTTTAGATAGTTGCATGGAAGTCAAGATTTTTCTTTGCAGGACTTACTGCTGTGTTTCACCTGTTCTTTTCCAGCTTCCTGGGGTCTTTGATGTGGACTTTGTGTCAAGTCAGCTCAGGCATTCAGGAATACTGGAAACCATCCATATCCGGAAGGAGGGTTTCCCTGTCCGACTTCAGTATTCATATTTTATTCAGAGGTACCAAAACATACATCATGCATCAACATAGATACTTTTCATTTCTTTCAACACATTGCTTTCTTTGCAGGTTTTTCTGTTAAAACACACACACACACACACACACACACACACACACACACACACTTTCAGTGCCTTTTGGCATGTAGACCATGTAGCATAAAAGCCACATTAAAGCATAGTGGCATTTTCTCTTGTTTTTAGAGGTCCAAGCCTGCGGAGCAGGGGAACACAGCTGAAAAGCAGCATACACAGCGGGTAAAATAAGTATTGAACACGTCAACATTTTTCTCAGTAAATATATTACTAGAGGGGCTAATGACATGAAATTTTCACCAGATG